CCCCGCCCCACTCGCAGGCGGTGCAGCGAAGCTGGGCGAAGAGGCGGGGTCTCGGCTCTTCTTCCATCCTGGGGCCGACACCGGAGGATGTTCCCTGCTCAGGAGGAAGCCGACAGGACGGTGTTTGTGGGGAACTTAGAGGCCCGAGTGCGGGAGGAGATTCTCTACGAGCTGTTTCTCCAGGTACCGTCCGCGGGGGAGGGGCGGCCGAGGGGCGGGGCGCACCGGACCGCCGGGAGCCCGGCCCCCTTCCCGTCCCGGGCTGTGGCTGTCATTCAGTTTGGCCTTGGCGCACTTGTCTCCAGGTGAGCGGCTGGGGAGGGCATTGGTGCAGCGTGCCCCGTCCTCACTGCAGAGTCCTGGGGGTGGGCCGTGTCGGGGCTCCCCCAGCCTCCAGTCCTGAATACGGATTCCCAGAGGCTGCTGGGCCTCGGTGATGATGGGGCACAACAGAAAGCAGCCCTGTCACTGTCTTCCATCATGGAAGAAGCATCCTCACGCCTTGCAACCCGCGAAATGAGAGGTATCGCTTTGAAGGTGTTTCCTTGTATACAGAACTTCAAGCCCTTCTATGCAGAGAGCTCTTTTATTCTGGCATGATAAATAAGGTTTTAGATGATAAGGCAGCCAATTCACCATGACTGTGACCAGTGGATTTCCTAACCAAGGCCATTTATTTCGTACCAAGAGGTCCTTCGGAAACTTTGAAATCTGGTGCCTCCAGAATTAAGCGTTCTGTGTCCTGTAAACACACTCATGGATTGTATTGTATACTTCCTAGACATCTTCGTTCAACCATTTATCTAACCGTTTAATGATCCAGAATTATAGGGTAAACACTAAGGAAGCTCCTGGACTCACAAGTTTTGGAACACCATTTGATCTTTCTACAAGCGGAAACTTAAAATACATTACAATTATTTAGGATAGTCTTCAAAAAAGAAGGATAAATAATATAGAAATGTGGTTAGAGTGTGAGCTCTGAGGTCAGCAGTGTGACTTTGGGCCTGCAAATGAGTATCTCAGTGCCTTAATTTCCTTGAATGCCAAATGGGAGTAATAGTATCTTCAATATGCTGTGGTTGCTAGGACTAAATGACGTGCTCTGGGTGAAACAGAGCTGAGCCTGGCACTTTCTGTTTGCTGCTGCTGCTGCTACTTACTAATTGAAGTAACTGCTACTATTAATGTAATACTAACATCAGGAGAAATCATGCTACTTCTCCTTAATAAAATAATGGAAAGTTTCAAGGGAGACAATAGCAGAATGAAATTTCCAAGATTGCGTATGAGCAGTAGAGGCAGAAGGGATTTTTTTGTTTAGTTGTGAAAGAAGGACTTACCTTTTTCATTAAACTTAAGCAACTCTCTATTAATTATAGAAAATTTAATAGGGAGAATCTTGCCAGAACATTTGCCATTCCTAGTTTTTTTTAAATTAATACAGTCTATGTATTTATAATTTATTTGAAAACTAGTTGTTTTAGGGCTTTTATGTTTATCCTAATGTACCATCTTCTTACCTTGCCCTTTTATTAATAAATATTAATATTAATAAACATCAACTCTGTCTATTTTTTTACTTAGTATCATTTGAAACTTACAAATGTAACTTTTTTAAAAAGGAAAGAAAAGTACACTTACTGATATTTTTCTTTAGAAGACTTCTTTCACATTGAGCCTCCAAAGATGGTGGTGGGATTGGAGTATCTCATAAAAACACATTGTTTCTTGTCAACTGGGACTGGCTCTATGTCAGTTGTGTGGATTCACAGGACTATATATTATCTCTTTTTATCATTTCCTTTTTTTCACCTAGGCAAGATGTAAATATCAGTTATTATAATAGGTAAGGTAATGCACATAAGTTTTTATTTTTGTCTAGGTAATGAGAGGATTTGCTAACGTGGATTATCTTTCAGAAAGGCTTCAAACCAGCAAAACCAACAAAACCCGGCAAAACTTGACAACCGCCACACCACTTGTATGTTTTCATCCTGGGTTAAAAAGACTATAAGATGATGAAAATGTACAGATATATTTTATATCAGTACATTTTTTATGATTGTATATGTATCCTTTCAAATTTCTTTCATATTTCTGTTTATACATTTAAGTGAGAAAATCACGTTTATTATTATTGTATTTTTAACTAAGAAATGCTACACTCAAGATTTAGAGGCAGAAAGATAATAAATTCAGTTTTAAATATCTTAAGTTTGAAGTACGACCACATAGAGGTAGCTCCATGAAAGAGACGTGAGTGTGAAAAGTATTAATAGATTTATTGATGAGGCGGTCCTTGAAGCCTGGAGGGAAGATGAGTGATTAGTGCCTGGGAGAGCACAGAATGAAAAGACAAAGAATGAATCCTAAAATACAGCATCATTTTAAAGATGACAGTATCTTTCTTTATAGGAAAAGCAGGTTTTAAAAAATATTTATATGATTCCACAGAAAAAAATAACCAGTCATTAAAGTATGAACCATTCACCACTATATTAGCTGTTTGTAGGTCTTTGTGAGTGCCACCTCTGACTGTTATCATGGCAGTGATTTAATTTTTCTTAGTTGTAAGCAGCACTTTTATACAATATTTTGCTTTGGTGTTTTTACTCTATATTTTGTATTATAGGGTTTTTAACATTAATACAACTGAATATTTATAATTTATGGTATTTTATTTCATTTTAATAGTATGCCATGGAATAATATCTTCAGTTGTTCATTAAATTTAGAGCTTTTGAATTTTCTCACTTATAAATAACATACCTACTTTAAAGTACTAAACATATTAAAACATTTTCCTTTGGGAATTTACCAAATGAGGTTACCAAGTCAAAATAAACGAGAAATGTAGTTTCTCTTGTGAAGATTTTTACCTTCTTGACAGAAAAAATTATGATATATAACATTGCCAGCCTTTTGGAGGATAATTTAACCAACACTGCCTTTGTCATTTCAATTTATTTTTGAATTCAATATATGTGGACACAAAATAGTGTTTTTATCTTAGATTTAAATGTTCTCTGAACTAGTTTGTTAAGTCTAACAGGAGGGTAGTCTACTTTTTCTTTTATTATTTAAAACAGTTACCTAGAATTTCTTGATCTTAACACCATGTATGTTTCTTTGGTGAGCCAGAAAATGTAAAAAAGTGTGGTATTTATTACTATGAACTGTGCATTATTAGCAGAGCTACATAACCTATTGCTATCAAAGTTTTATAGTCTAAATTTGATCTACTTGATTATTTGAGTGTAAAAAATTTTGGATTTATGAGAAAATAATTTTTAAGTTTTTTATAGGCTGGGCCACTAAGCAAAGTGACTATATGCAAAGACAGAGAAGGAAAGCCGAAGTCGTTTGGATTTGTCTGCTTTAAACACCCAGAATCGGTGTCTTATGCCATAGCTTTACTGAATGGAATTCGTTTGTATGGAAGACCAATTAATGTGCAGTATCGATTTGGTAGGTCCTGTCACTGATGAATCTTTAAAGTGTTTTGTAGTTGCTACTATTCTCAAAGGTATAAGCATTTTGTTTTCTAAAGAGTGTAAAACAAAAAAAAGTACCTCTCTAATCACTGTAACATTTTCTCAGAATGTATCTAATTCATAATGTTATGTAATTAATTAGTATTGCTGGCAAACCTACAGCTTCTTTTCTATATTTAAATTAAATATATTATATTTTAGTATCAGCCAGCAAGTAACTGTGATGATTGCTGGTAGCTATTACAAACTGAGCAAATCTAAATGAACGGGGGAACATCTCTAGCATTTATAGAGCAAGGCTATTTGCTGATCTTGTCACTGCGAATGTAGTGGTATGACATACCTACTGTTTGGAAGATAGAGTGAGTACGTTAGTGCTTCTTCTGGGAAAACTGTCCTACGCATGTTGTTCTGTGTATGAGCCCCTGTAAGACCAGAGCAATGGCAGCTGTAGAGTGACCCTTAATAGTGTTGACAAAAACTTCCTGACCTGAATGACCTTGAACACTTTCTCCTGTACATATGTCAGGAACTGATTGTCCATGATTAGATGGATGCCCAGAGAATGTGATACTATTACTCTATTCCTTTCATGTTGCAAGGCACTGATAAGGGCCATCTGGTAATTTTTGCAGTACTTTATGTTGCCTCCCCTGAATGATTCAGGTTTATCGATGTATCACTTGTTTGTTTTTTATTCCTCTTGCTATGCTAAAAACAGATATGAATAACAAAACAATGCCTTCTTACAAAGAAAAGGTGCTTTTCTTTTTTTAATGTATGGCTGCATCAAGCTTTCTGGTACTAGTACAGTTAACTCCCAGGCTGGTAGAATAGGCAAGGGGATATTATGTTCTGACATGTCTGTGCAAGGTTAAATTGGCTTTTGCCCACATAGGTTAGAGGACACCTGCTTTCTACTCTGGAAACAAATAACACTGCCACTTTTAGTTTACACATATATAGAATAAAACAGCATCATATATCTTACACAGTCGCATGTCAATGCAATTCTTATGTGTGGTTATTGCATTCCACAAAACTTGGTTATAATTCATTCATTTATAGTTCTGTATTCATGTCAGTGTAATTCTTATGTAAGAGTATTGCTTTGCACACAGCTTGATTATAATTCATTCATTTACAGCACTATAAGCAATCTGTAAATTTGACTTCAGAGATCAGATAGATATGCGTACCTACTATAGGAGTATGGAATTTTAAATCATTTCTATGCCCTGAAAGATTTTGGGTTATTTTATAGTTTAATGTTAGGACTCTAAAAAGTTTCACCATGAAGTAATCTGTTCTTCTATTTCTTTTAAAGGGAGCTCTCACTCTTCTGAACCAGCTAACCAAAGTTTTGAGAGCTATCTTAAGATAAATTCACACAGCTACAGGTAAATTTAAAAATTCTTCATAAAAGTAAAGCAAATAAGTATGTTCTTGTGCTAGCAGCAGTTTTTATATATTCTGGGCTATTGTAAAACCTTAGTATTTAGATATAGACATTAAGAAATCACTTTTTTGAGTCCATGAAAAGTGACAGAAAATATTTTTATTTAAAGTTTAGTAAATATTTTTAGTAGTAGATGGTAAAGATTTACATTTGAAGTGTCACTTACAGTTTCCTGTGTGCTTTTCATAGCTGTTAAATCATTTAAGCATGCAAGGCTAAGTGATGGATTATAGAGATACTGATATTTATATTTCATATTTGAGTAAATGGAAACAAAAAACTAATTTTCAAGGTCACAAAGATGATAAAGTGCTAGCCTTAAAACTAAACCTGCTGACATTAAACCATTCAATTATTTCTTTTACTTTTTTTTAAGAACTCTGTTTTAATTTTCAAAATGTCCTAGTATTTTGCATAGTCTAACTTCTTGATGCATTGGTAGCCTCCATATACACTATCCAGCAAGTTATCCCAGAGATCATGGAACAGAAAGATTCTCAAACCAAATTAAAACGCTCAAATCACACTATTTATTAAATCAGTTTTTAAAACACAGTGAAAAACAAGAGGAAAGATATTGCATAGTTTTGCATACTTATGATAGGATGCAAGTGAGCAGAAGGGCAAACTAGCTGAGTTCCGGGTATGCTAATATACCCTGTTTCTTTCTCTGCTCTATCATCCTTCCCCACTGGTAGTGTCCTCGTGAGGACAGGAGTTGAGGTTTGAGTAAGGGTATCCATTCAGATGGAAAGTTCTTGGAGCTAATGTCACTCACTTTTTCTCTCAAGGAAACATAAGGGCAAATACACTCAGCCACAGAAGTAGCTTGCTGGCTTGTCTGCCAGATGCCCGTGAGTTTCATCTGAGTTTCTTAGGTAGAGTGAAGACAAAAAGATAAGCAAAACAGCCCAGAGGTGGCTTGATCAGGACTGGGTATTTCCTTCCTATTTTGTCTATTAGTGAAACTTTTTGTTTTATTATATTTCCTATTACATCTATATATCTTTGGCCTGTCTTACTCACAGTCGATGGCAATCGTATCCTATGAGTTTCACCCATCCTGCTTTTCTAAATCTTCTATTGAAGAGCTGAATATTCTCAAGTTAATTGACAGTAGCTGAACCTTCTATTCCTTTTAATTATATCAGCCCTCAGAGGCACAGTACAGTGTCCTCATGGGACTGGCAAATACCCAGGCTTATCTTCAGAAGAAGTATTGCACCCCAAATAAAATATAATATGCTCCACATCTTCATTATCCCCAGAATTTCTGTATCAGTGAAATCAGAAGAGGTTTAGAAAATACATGGTGAAATCACATTGCCTAAATTTGAATCCTGCCTCTGCTAGTTTATTAACTGTGTGACCCTGGATATGTGATTTCACCACTCTGTACACCATCTCTAAAATGAGGCTAATACCTAAAAAGGGTACTGTGAAAATTGAATTTTATAATTAATGCAAGGTTCTTAAAAAACTAGGCATATACAAAATATTCAGCAAATGTTAGCAAAAATGTGAGATTTACTATTTCAGTTGGTGAAGCATTATAGACTTATGAATCAAGTCATGTATATGATATAAGAGCCTCCTCTCTTATTCTCATACCAAGTAGAAAAATATACATCTTTTTTTCTCAGGAGTTGGGAAGGAATAAAATATTGGTAGAATTTGACAATAGAGAAAAGACTAAGTGGGCACTAGAATATGGCAATAAAACTGTATTTTTACATGTTGGATACACTGTCTAAATAATCACAAATTCTAGAATAAAAGATCTGAGTTATATGTATATTCTGGATTCTACATTTCATTGGTGGCACTTAATCTTCTAGTATTTGTGATAATATAAAGGAAGTATAAAATTGGCTATCATGTCCTAGAAGTGATATATGCAGAGAAAAATTTTGCCCATGTGATATTCTAGTCTTTGGTCTTCCTTGGAATGATTTTTCTGTGCTTCTTATTGCCTTATACCTTCTGTTTTTAATAAATAGTTCCTGTGTTAGTTTGCTAGAGCTGCTGTAGCAAAGTACCACAGAGTGCTTAAACAACAAAAATTCATTGTCTCACAGTTCTGGTGGTTAGACATCCAAGATTAAGGTGTCTGCAAAATTAGTTGTTTCTGAGTACTGTTAGGAAGAATCTGTTCCATGCCTCTCCTCTAGCTTCTAGTTGTTTGATGCCAATCTGGTGTTTTGGGGCTTGTAGAAGCAGTATCCAGTTCCCTACGCTTATGTTCATGTATTATTCTCTCTGTGTATATATATATTCTATGGCTTGAATGTGTCCCCAACAGTTCATGTGTTGAAAACTTGGTCCCTAATACAGCAGTGTTGAGAAGTGGGGCCTGTGGGAGGTGATTGCGTCATGAGGGCTTCATGAATGAATGAATTGATTTATAGATTATTAAAGTAATGCGTTATCAAGGGAGTGGGTTTGTTATCACAAGACTGGATCTATTATAAAGGCCAGCTTGGCCATCTCTGGTGAGCTTCTCTCACCTGTGATGCCTTCTGCCATGTTAGAATTCAGCATGAGGCCCTCACCGGAAGGCAATCAGATGTAACCACCTGATCTTAGACTCCCCAGTCTCCAGAACCATAAGCCAAAGTAAACATCTTTTATTCATAAATTATCCAGTCTCATGTATTCTCCTATAGCAACAGAAACAGACTAAGAGAATTTGTCTTCAAATATCTCATTCTTATAAGGACACCAGTCATATTGGATTAGGGGCCCATTCTACTCCAGTATGACTTCACCTTAACTAATAATATCTGTAATTACTCTTTTTCAAAATGAGGCCACATTTTTAGGCACTAGAGTTAGGAGTTTGCCAGCTGATTTGGGGGAACAAATCAACCCATAAAAGTTCCCAATTTATGTGTGATTTCTCTATGCAGACAACTATGCATGCTCTGAAATTTACATAAGAAAGACAATGGTTTTAGAGAATCTGCAGCTGTTTTCATAATTGTGCTAATATCACCATGTCTGCTGCTGAGTCATTGCCTCCCCACACATGTTCTCCTCTCCCTGAACCTTGTCTCCTAATCAAGCTGTTGTATTTTTCTCTCCTTTTTCTCACTGAAAAAATATTTTATTCTTCATCTTCTTTGTTCTCATTCACTTTTCAAACCCATTGTTTTATAGAAGCTGCTCTTTTGAAGGTTGTCAGGAAACTTCCGATCAACAATTCAGAAGCCTCAGTGCTCACGCAGTTTACTCTTCTGTAACAACTAACACCTAATTATTTTCTTAATAGGATGTACACTTCCTCTGGCTTCTGTGAGAGCACTCTCACCACTTAGAAACAGAGTCTCTGCCTATTCCCCTGATTGCTTTCTGTCATTCTTTTTGCCTCATCTTTTCTTCTGCCTGCCTGTGCTGATTTCAACCTTCTTCAAGTATACTTTCTGTCCTAAGCTTTAGTAGTATTAGCATTGAAATTACCAAGCAGACTATTGAATAGTAGCTATAACATCTAGCCAGCACCTGCAACATCTCCATAGGAGCATATATAACATTTATAAGTGAACTTTGGGATACCACAGTCTTTAAATTAGGGATTTTAAATTTTTCTTAATGTGTGGAAGATATCAGCAAGTGTGTTCATGTTAACATCAGCAGTTCATTTAGGAAAGAGCATAATTTTGGTAGTTAAACAATAAAGGTATCTTTTAAAATAAATTGATGAAAATTTCTACCTTTTTTTCTTTTTTATATCTGTAGCAGTTTGAAGTATAACTTTAGTGATTATTAATGACTTGCTTTGCTCTGTTTATATCGAAGTGTTCTTTTGTCTTTATATAAATATGATATTTTCCAACATTTTTCTATCAGAAAGCCAAATATGACTCTGAATATTGAGACTTCAATATTTAGTGATTAATTAATGTACTGCAATGCTATTACATTATCAGTAGTAATAATTGATTATTTTGTTGTTTAGAGTAATTGATGTTAACTGAATGCTATCAGAAAAGCTTGCTCTTTCTGTCTTTTCAATTTTGAAAAGCTTTCATCTTTCTTCAGAGAAAAGAACATTTTTACAAAAGAATTTTAAGTTTTTATTGCTTCTTCTCTCATCTCCTCAAAGGAATGAAGAAATGGTGGGCAGATCTTCCTTTCCCATGAATTTTTTTCCAGTTAATAATACTGCTTTACCTCAAGAATATTTTTTCTATCAGAAGATGGTAAGTTTGGTATGTATTTGGTTCAGTATATAATGTGGTATAAACTATGAAAAGCATGAAAAACATTTATACTATTTAGTGCTCAAATATAAACCTGGGAAGAAGGTACAGGATACCCCAGCACTGTACCCAGTGTATTCTTTTCTGACAGGGTCATCTTAAATCCTTGGCATAATACCTCAACAGACAGCCAGGGTATAAACAGAAAAAAAGCAGATGGTAGCGAAGATACACTGTAGTCCAAGTGAAACTTGAGTAGAGAGTTCTCATGTAAATGACTATTTTTAAAGAATTGAATTCTATTTTAGAATTGGATAGTTTCACTTAATGAAGCATTTTTTATATAATGCCATCAATCCTAAATAGATTGCTTTTGGACATAGATTTTTAACATAAAGTTCTCATTTTACAGACCCTGAACATTTACCATAGTACTATAAGAAAGGGATTGGTAGTAGCTGCATACTACAGGGAGCAAGGGGGATACAGCATCAATAAGGGTACCTGACCTCAACCCAGGCAAAGTGGGGACCAAAGGGTGGCCCAAACTTTACCTGTACGATGACCATTTGTATACCTAATCCTGAATTGTACCATACCATACATCTTTAAAATAAAATAATATTGAGTGATCTATCACAGAAAAAAAATTTTTTCTTTTTAACTAAAGGTAAAACTATATGTAGCTTCTCAGTTGGTAAACTATATTATTTCTTAAACATCGACTCTGACCTAGAAATCTTAATTAAGTTCTTCATTGTTAAAAAGGAACTAATTTTTTTTCTTTCAACTCCTCGTTTATAGATAAGAAAATTGAAGTCCAGGGGTATTAGTCAGCAAACACAAAACCCAAGGATTATACAGTTTGTTAGTGACAGATGTGAAACTAAAACAGGTCCTTTGATTCACACAATGTTATTTTTGCAAATACCCGATATATATATGAGCATTAGATTTCTAAGTATCCACTTGAATTTGTAAACAAAAATAGAAATTTTTCTGATACTTTCACTTTTGGAAAAAAAACTTTTAATAATCATACTATAATATTAAATACATATTATTATAGTAAAATATTAGTGAATAACCAGTTATCACCCAAACTGTAAATTTCTTTTTCTTGGCATTTTTTAATCTTTTGGTAGAGGTGGGGGGAAGAGGAAGAGACACACGTTCATGGAATCTCTATTTGTCTTTAATCTGTTTTGAATAGTTAGAAATTTGAGTTAAGAACCTTTTTTTCCTCTTTTTTAAAGATATGGGGTATAATTCAGGGTTATGTATGCAAATTCATTATGTATACAAATTCATTATGCACATAAGTTCATTATGTAGGTTCCCTTATTCATGAGGTGTGCCCCTCCCTCCCCTGGAAGTTTCCCTCAACTGCCAATGCCACCCCTCTTCCCTTGGCAGTTTCCCACTACAGCCAATGCCTTTCTTATAGTATTATGATAATTGTTCAAGGTCTGCTTATGAGTGAGAATATATGGTACTCTGTTCTTTGTTTCTGTTACACATCACTCAGTTTTATATACTCTAAGAACTTTTTTTAAAACCCCAATACTCTAACTAGAGTATTGGGGCCATTGGCCACATAGGCACCTAAGAAGCTGAGTTTTTAATTTTAATTAATTTAAAAAAAATTTAAAATTAGTAAATGAATAGTGAGTTTGTGTGTGCTTGTTTGTTTGCTTTTGAGTCAGGGTCTTGCTCTATTGCCAGGCTGCAGTGTAGTGGCACAATTATGGCTCTCCACAGCCTCAAACTCCTGGGCTCAGATGATCCTTCTGCTTCAGCTTCCTGAGTAGCTGCGACCACAGGCATGTGCCACCACATCCAGCTAAATTTTTAAAAAATTTTTGTAGAGACGAAGTCTCACTATGTTGCCCAGGCTAGTAGTCTTGACCTCCTGGGCTCAAGCAATCTACCTGCCTAGGCTTCCCAAAATGCTGGGATTACAGCTACCATGTCCAGCAGTTAGTTTTGTATTCTGAAAACTTTTATATTTGTAATAACCTCAGTATGTGAATATCTTTTTTCAACTCTAAATTTTGTGTGATGTAAATTCAGATCAAGTATTGTCAATAAAAATTTAGCATTCAGACTAAGATGTGCTGTAAGTGTAAAATACACAGTAGATTTAGAAGACTTCATATGAATAAAGTAAAATATCTCATTAAGAATTTCTATATTGGTTACACGTTAAAATGATACTATTTGGGATATACTGGGATAAACAAAATGCATCATCTCACCTATTTCTTTTTACTTTTGTATAGTATCTACTAGAAGATGTAAACTACATATGCATTATATTTCTGTCAGACAGCACTAATCTGTACTGTATGAATATATGAACTACACACTACTTTGACTCTGGGTGTTGACAGTTCAAAGAAACTTCCTAATTTCAACTATGGAAAGTCACTTTCTTATGCCAGAATGCAATTTCGTTTATTCATGGCTGTTTGTATAATGCATGTAAACTGTTAACTTTTTTTTAACTTTTTATGTATGTTTTGGTGGATGAGTGTCTTTTTTTTCACAGCAGTGGCATGCATATAATCCAGTGCTGCAGCTTCCTTACTATGAGATGACAGCTCCACTTTCTAATAGTGCCTCCGTGTCTTCCTCACTAAATCATGTTCCAGATCTTGAGGCTGGACCCAGCTCATATGAGTGGACTCACCAACAATCAAGTGACTCTGACCTTTATCAGATGAATGAGCGAAAGAGGCAAAAGCAAACAAGTGATAGTGATAGTAGCGCAGAAAACAACCGAGGAAACGAATATAGCCAAAAGTTCAGAAAGTGTAAGAAGAAGAAAAGATATTAATATTACCTTCAAATGAAATTTATCTACAGTGGTCTTAATTCTCTTTTAAAAAAATCTATCTGTATTCTACCAAATGACTAATTTCATGGCTGTCTTGTATTTTGAAATAGAAAACAATGTGACTTATTTCTGATTTGCTATTCAGTTTTTGCCTTGAATGACAAAGCTTTTTAAAAATAACATATTGTACTACTTTTGTATTTGCCTTATTTTTGCCTCATTGTCAATCAGAAATATTTTTTGTGTCATTTTATTTTAGTACTGATTATGAAATTCCACTAAAGTATTAATCAGAAGTCACTTACTGAACACTTACTGAACCATGTTCTCTCTAGATTATCACCTGTAACCAATCCTCAACTACAGATAGACTGAGATTAGAAATGGAGTGGTGGATTTTCTAAGAAAGTAGTGCAAGTATTTAAGTGTTGCATGTTGTTTCTGTTGAAGTTGTGATAAACAGGCTTTAGGTTTTTGTATTAATAACATTTTGTTTTTTTGTGTCTAAATATGTCTCTAAGCTGTATTCTTCTTCAGATTTATTTTATAAAGTGAAGACATATGACAATAATGCCAAAGGAAAGATAATTACCATGGGACCAGATTTTGGCTCATTCCCTTTTTATACGAATATATACTTGTAGGGATACCTACTTGCTTTTTTACTTCTCACTTTTTAGATGTATGTGATGAAAATTAGTTTGCTATGTCAGTATTTATTATTCACCTCTTTTGCTAGAAAGGTATTTGAATCTTGCAAGTGAGCAAGTAAATAAAGCATTTCATTAATGTGTAATATTTAATGCTCATTGGCCAAATTAAGTTTTCTATTTTTGTTTCATTTGTTTTAGAAGATCGAGTACATGTAAAACTAATGGTTTACCTGGACGTTTTTGTTTATTTTATGACTAATCATAAACTAGAATATTGAAAATAATATTATTTACTAAAGGTAATTGAAAGAATCATGCAACACCATTGGGAATCAGCCACCCAATTCAGTAGTAAAAGTCATGAATGGATATTTTTTTGGCATGTAGCATTGCACTTTATAAATATTTATTATTTTTAAAAATAGATATGTTTTTAACAAAGAGTGTAGCCAAACTTAACTGTTGCTAATAAATATACAGTGTAGTAGGACTTAAAATATAGATATTAGTCTATTTCATCTGATCAATATGAAAAACTAAATTTTGCTTTATCTATAGTTTCATGTTTTTGAATATTCAAGCTGGAAAAGATGAGATTTTTTTCCTTTTAAAACTTACACTTTTGCAATTTAGAGTCATGCCAAAGGGAAGAATATCTTTCTATGCCAATAGATAACAATATGACTTATTTCTGATTTGCTATTCAATTTTTGCCTTAAATGACAAAAGCTTTTTCAAAATAACATATTGTACTTCTTTTGTAGTTGCTATATTTTTGCCCCATTGTCAATCAGAAATATTCTCTGTATCATTTTATTTTAGTACTGATGATGAAATTCCACTAAAGTTTTAATCAGAAGTCACTTATTGAACATTTATGGATAGGGTACCATGCTCTGCCTAGATTGTCACTTAGGTTGTTTAAAGTAATATGTCTTTAAACACATGAACTTTGCCTCAGCCTTTTCTTCAGTTCTTCTAAAGTTTACTTTAGTCCTAAATTATTTCATTGTGATTAGTATTATAGAAAATATGTGTACAAGGAATGTATCTTAGGAATTAAGACATTATATGTATAAGAAAATTATCTTGAAATATTATTACATGAACTGCAAATATATATATATATATATATATATATATATATATATATATAACACTTCCTCCAGCATAGACAAAAGTATCTAGATAACTTGAACAAGTTCATCAACGTGAACCAACTAGAGACTAGGAGATTCACCTATTTGCCATGTTATCTTTTATTGATCAAAAAATATAAAACCTCCATTAAGCTGCTGATATATAATACAGGCCTATATATTTTTAAATTACCAGTTTTTTCAATGCTATATATTTGAGTTAAGAATTATTTAAATTGACTGGACTCGGTTGCTCAACCTGTAATCCCAGCGCTTTGGTAGGCTGAGGTGAGTGGATTGCCTGAGCTCGCAGGTTCGAGACCCGCCTGGGCAACTTGGCAAGACCTCATCTCTACAATAAATCAAAAATTAGCTGGGCGTAGTAGTGCACGCCTGTAGTTCCAGCTACTTGGAAGGCTGAGGCGGAAGGATCGCCGGAGCCCAGCAGGTCAAAGCTGCAGTGCCCGGGAGCAGCCACTGCACTCCAGTCTGGGCGACAGAATGAGACTCCAACTCAAAAAAAAAAAGAAAAAAGAATCATTTAAATTACTGCCTCCAAGGGTTTTATTTTCTGATTTTAATTCCCTACTTTCAAAATATATCTTCAATTACATATATACATATTCTTCAAGTAGTAGAAAAAGCTTGGAATTTGAGAACAAAATCAGACATTTTGTATATTCTTGTATTCACTAATTTATTTTTTAAATTAGTTTCTGTAATGCATCAGGCAGTGGTAATACAAGAGAAAAATTACTTACAACTAAAGTTGTAAAAAAGATGCCTGCCAAACACATTTCTGAAATCTGCTGAAGTGACCAATACTGAGCTAGTGTTTTTAAGTATGTAACTGTTTATGCAAGAGTATCACTTTTGAGATCTCAGTATTAAATGCAATTTTCAAAAAGCAACTAATTTATTGCAATATGATTATAAAATTCTGAGGCAATCATTTTTTGGTTACCTGGTTAAAATTTAGCAAGAGAAAAAGAATTAAGAATTATAATTTTTTAGCACTGTCCAGATGCAAAGCATTATATACTTACTTGTAGTCAACCTCTTTTTTGCTGGCTAAATACTAATAAACTGGTAAGCAATTAGAAAGTGATATTTCTGTCTCTTACCAGTACATCCAACACTATCTTCAAATCATTGCCTACTGAACATACCCAGTTGGTATCTCACTAGCACTGCAAATTCAGCCTTTTTCATTTTATTGTAATTTTTCTTCCCAAATATTTACTTCTTTGCTCATTTTTGGCCTATGTTCCACTACTAGCCATTTGCTGTTGTCATGGTGACCTTGCTTCAGTGACTTACAGAGAACTGTTTCAGTCCCTCTTAGAACACTTGCATGCCTCAGTTAAAATGAAGCACTTCTGATGTCAGGCACTGAAATGAAAATGGGCCCATTTATTGGAAATGCTAACAGTATGAAAAGGTAGGAGTGGCACCAGCTGCTCAGCTTCATCTCCATTTAAATGTTTAAGGGCTGGGCATGTTCTTCGTGGTGGATATAGCTCAAGGCAGGTGTGATTTACATGGCCACTCCTCCACAGTGGCTTGGCTGTTTGGATTTCCATCTCTCCTGTCCCTAGGAAGGAAAAACGGATGAAATACCAACTGCCACCACTCTGGTCTGAGGTCAGAGTCCAGGCCCTTTACAGGACCCACGTTCTACCTCTTTTTCTATTCATCCTAGTAAAGCCAGTTACATCAGAAATAAGTCTGTCTCTCATTAAATTACTCACCATTAAGAAAAGTCATCTAACAACCCAGATTTGATTTTGGTGAAAATGAGTGCTAATGTCTCCGTGTTTTGCTTCAGAAAGTGCAAAGAACATCTGTTTAAGCAAAGCATAATGTTTTCTTCTGCACCTCAAGTCAAGGAAAGTTCAGTGAACAAATCTTCTCCAGTTTGCCCTGAGATTTGCTAGGGTGATTGATGAAGATTCTATTCTGCCGATCAGAATGAGTTCTACAAGGTCACATGGTACACCAACTGCGGGCTAAGTTTTTTTCTTTTAATTCATAATCAGTCGTGCCTAACCCACAAAAATTACCTCATGTATATGCAACAACTGCTATAGCAAGTAAGGACAAGTCATCTATTATCTGGTTCCTGGTAATATTTCCTTTTGAGCTTCTGTTAACCACCTTCTTATATCATCAACAAGTTATCTAAGGTCTAAAAAACATACATACTTGCATTGCAGTTAAATAACCAATGCCTACGGATGCAAACAAATGTACTCTCTGTGTTGGAAACTCTGAGAAGGATTGAGTCCAAAAAGCATATATGGCAGCAGTTACTACAAGGAATCTGGATGTAACAATAATTGGCCCAGCCACCTAACCTTGCTTGGGAAGCTTAATAAAATATTATTTAAATGATAGTGTTTATCAGTCCAACACACTTACTATTTGAGACCTGATAATGTTTTTCCTTCTGTTTTTATATGAGAAAAGTGTTAATATTCTGAATAGGAAAATAACTCTCACTCAGCTGCCTGCCTCAGGCTGACTATATCTTTACTGATTTTATTCAACTTCAAAGCTTAATTACAAGGAAAAAAATGCAGACTCAATCTGCAATCAGAACTTGCTATTCAGAGTTCTGAGAGTAATTCTAGACACCTTCCCATTACTCTGTTTCTAAGAGGTCACTAGCTCCTCATTTTGACCTTGTACAGGTTCTCTTTATTTTCTTCTTAGAATATGCATCAAGCAAATCAATCAACAATGAATGAATGTCATTCTAAACACCAATTGTGATACTGAGGCTACATCACTGAAAAAGTAGCGTTCCAATATTCAAGGAGCTTAATAGTCCACTGGCATTGATGGAAAGGTAGACGATTTTAAAATAATGCTGTGACATAATATAGCTAAATACAGAGCACAGTGGGATACATTAGAGGCTCCACTCCTCAAGAAAATAAATCCTAGAAAGAGGAGAGGGAATCACCTAACAATACAGAGCAAAGAAGGAGAGGTAGAAGCTTAGCAGCTTTCTCCACTGTTCCCACATTTTTCAGCACTGCTGTTTACCCCTCCTTGGAAGAGTGACTCCAAGTTTTAAGTCTATACAGGTAAAATGGCTTGTCAATTGTCAGTTATCACCCATCTCCTTAAGAACATAGGGACTTGGGATATGGAATAAAAGAAAAAGTTAAAAATCCCTGCTTTCATGGAACTTATATTCCAGGGGAAAGATAGAATAATTAGGATAAACAAAATATAAAGTTAGATTTTAATTCAATTAATAAACGATAACTGCTGAGGAAAAAATGCAAGAAAATATTTAGGGACTGAAGAACCAAAGCATGTGAGAAAGTAAGCCATATGGATATTTGAAGGAACAGCAATCTAAATGAATAAATAGCAGATGCAAGGTCCACGGAGAAAATAGTCCTAGAAGAAAGAAAAGGAGCCAAATTAGGAAGTTGACTGAGGGAGAAAAGATGATGATAAATGTAGAAGTCACTGTAAGAAGTCTCCTCTTGTGACTTACAGTGAGGGTATTTTGCGAATAGGTGTGGGGAGTGACAGTGAAACAAGGGTAGAAATATTGAAACCACTGAAGGTATCCAGGCAAGAAGAGGTAGTTGCGTGGATCAAATGATAGAAATGGAAGATAAGTTGTCTATTCTGGGTATTTTCAAGGTAGAACCAACAATTCACTAAGCATTTTAATACTAGAATAGAGAATGAATAGAGTCAAGAAGACTACAAGGTTTTTGGTCAGAGCAACTGAAAGAATGAAGTTGGTGTGGCTGGGCGTGGTGGTGCAAGCTTATAATCCCAGCACTTCCAGAGACCAAGGCGAGAGGATTGCCTGAGTTTAGGGGTCCAAGACCAGCCTGGGCAACTTGGTGAGATCTCGTCTCTACAACAAATCAAAAAATTAGCCAGGCGTGGTGTCTGTAGTTCAGGCTACTTGGAAGGTTAAGGTAAAAGGATCACCTGAGCCCAGCAGGTCAAGGCTGTGGTGGTCATGAGCA